GATGCGTAAAGAAAATTCATACCAAACCAAAGGGACATAGATTTGAAAGATTTCAATTTTAAAAAATGGGGTGGGGCTAACCTATTATCCAAAGCGTAGATATTGTATTGGTTTATAGTTATTATTAAACGAGGCATAAAGAATAAGCGGAAGAATCATACCAAGCCAAAGGGACATATATTTGTAAGATCCCTTTAATTATAACCATTATTTAGTTTTCATGTTGTTATCATTATTTGATGTTGATCATTTAAAAAGAACGTCCTTACCTTTTGTGTTCGACATTTCTCAATAAATATGTTTTTCGAATTTACTTTAGCCATTTTCTTCTATTCAAATGTATGCTACCTAATCCTTTAAAGTGTATAATAAATGTGAGAGGTCGCGTGTTGAGTAAATAATATTGCTATTTTGTAATTATATGGAATGGATACAGGGTTCGATAAAAAGAATAATGCGTTTCCAATACAGGTAATCCCAGTCATAATATATTATATTATTCAGTTGTTTGCTTTGCTTTATTTCTTCTATATAATCAACTTGATAATCAATCAAATCTCTGCCTGCTTCGACTATCCACCGAAACCAAGTCTGATATAACCAAATGATCAGTGTTTTATTTCCTAGTTGGCGTCGATCTTTATTTCTCTACATAATACTAATACCATTGCTCAATTTGTACGGTAAACAGTATATTTTTCACAATGTGAACCCACATGCCGCTACTGATTTTTATGGCGTTAAACGATTTAAATTATTCTGCGGTATTAACACGCTGTAGACTTGCTTTGGTAATATTACTTACTGGAGGAAGTACACAATCTGTAAAGTGTACTTTTAAAATTATTAACAAGCCATTCCGAAAGTTTCGCTTGAAAGCTAATTGACACCCGTTCTTCTTCGCATGAATGCAATGAACGCAGTTACCTTTTCCAAATCAAGGATATGGATTAAAGGGATTAACTGGGTTGCATAGCATTGAAACAACACCAATTTTATAAGTGTCGAGGCCATTTTACATTGGTTTATTTGTTTACAAACTAAGATTCTGGTAGAAAAAGTAGTACGTTGACCTCATGACCAGTGATAAATTTACCAGGTGGTATGAGTAGTATGCCTACGGACTTGTCAGAGTCACTTCACTGCAGGTGTAAGGTTTCTGTTGTTCAGATGGGATCCAACTAAGTACAGAACATAGTTACTTTAGTAACGAAGTCTTAGAGACCCCTAGTGCTCTCTCTTCGTTACTGGCGCGTCGTAATGACAACCAATATGAAAATAAGGCTTTTCCTCCATCTCGGTTCTAGGGCTATTTTGGAATCTTCACCGTCTATTTTTCACCGTGATCCTTCTTTGTTCGCCAAAAGGAATCAATTCTTGCCAGATCCGACACAAATTTATAATAATCCCACAGGGAAATAAATTGTCGGTCGTAAAATAAGTGCAGTCGATCTCAAAATAAGTACTCACTGAATTAATGAGGTAAACAAACAATGCCAAAATAGAAGGACAAATCCCAATTTTTATGTATTTGCGTGAATCCGTGCACCTAAATTGCATACGTCACGCTACACACATTGTCAATTTATCATGTCTGAAAAAATGTTTTTTACCCTTATTCTGCTGTGAGTTGGTCTAAGAAAAAAAATCCCCCCCCCCCCCCAGGGAGAAAAATAGTCTGTCTCAAAATATAAGTGCAGTCACTGCAGTCGGTCTCAAAATAATGCATCGGCAACTGACGAAATGAATTAAAGGACAATATTGGTGCCAGTCATTATCACATATGTGATAGAGCTGGTTAAACACATTCCAAATGTAATTTTAATACAGAGATCATTGCTACGATAGCTGAGTAATACAGGTTTCCTCAATCGGAAGTGACGAACGCCAGAGGAAAACACGAGTAATCCCTCTATATAACTGACTGATGTGACGAGTGATAACAGATACACGGCCGAATTTCTGCTCACTAATAATTCCTTCCAAGACCAAAATTTGCTATATGGGACTGTAAGAGGATACCTGACAATTCAATAAAGTAACTGAATGTCATTAGATAAGAGCACACGAGAAAAATAGAAATAGTCGATCCGTACATTCCCTTGTTTATATTCAGTCTATACCTTATAAAAACATGGTAATGCACGGACTTTTTCTGTTTTTCTTTCGTGTTCTCTTATCTAGTGGCAGTCAATTCTTTTTATGAATTGTCAGATATCCTCTCACAGTCTAACACATCAACTTTTGGTCTTCGAAGGACATTTTTTAGAGAATGATATACGGGATGATATACGAAAATGCAGATTTACTTTGAAATAGTGCAAATGATACTTTTCCATCTAAAATCTTCAGATCAAAGGATGCAAGTTCTTACACAGTGCAGCATAATTTGTGCAACAGAAGACATCTCGAATATCGATTGTCTGAAAAAACATTTTCTCGGGGACATTTATTTCCGAATACGCATTCGGTGTATGTCTTCAGCCACCAGGAAGTGGTTAACATAGTAATGTTTTATTACGATAGTAGTACATAAAACAAATTGGTTGCCTGAGGTTCTCGGGGGGAAAGTAGATTCATCGGCTAGAGTCCTCTATTTCACAAACAAAAGCAACAATTGCTTCCTTGAAAATTTATCGATCAACCCTTTTCACAGACGTCCAGCTTACCACTTCCCGTCAATGCAGTAAGATAGAATATGTAGTTTTCTCATGGACAATTGGGCGAAAGTTGGGGTTTTCTCAAGGAAAACTGGTCAACAAGTTGGGAAAAAGCTCGAAAAGTAATCCAGAAAAAAATCCTGTGTGCGGCCCTCGGAATATGATGGAATATGTTGAATATTATTATGGTTCAAGTGATTATATTTGACCCTGGAATGAAAGTAAGCTCAGAAACAAGTAGATTTTTAGCCCTTCCAACGAGATGGATAGCTCTTGGAAAGGATAGACACTTTTCAGATTACAGCCTGTCCGAGAATTTCGTGGCATCCATTTCGTTTGGTGATTAGGACACATAGCGGTTAAACCTGGAACTTCAACTGGAACTATTCAGAGATTTATTAACTCGCTTTTGATGATACTTGCTGTTTTATGATGCGATTTTTTGTTACCTAGGGAGGAGTTGGCCTAGTCGTGCCTTCCACTAATTCGTACCACCCTGATGCCAGCGTTACTGGTAAGAATCAGGAGACCGGCGCAACCGCCATATAATGGGGCCCTCCGAGGGCAGTGTTTAATCTACTGAAATACTGAAACACTGAAATCTACTGAAATTTACTGAAAACTAAAATTAAAATACAAAATAAAATATGGTCAATGATGGAGGTAGACTGATTGCGTCTTTTAAAACATTCAAAACATAATAGGCATAATAGGGGGCTATTTGTAAAACGAACATCGTAATGACCTTGACCTTCCTTCATTGGCGCTCACTTGGTCCAAAACTGCACACAGAGGACCAGGCTCCGGGTTACCTATTTATCGTGTTTTCCGGTATTTAGGATGTTTTCCGGTATTTAGTGTTTTTCCGGTGTTTTCCGGTATTCAGTATAAAATGGTGTTTTCCGGTATATAGTATGGCCCACTGGAAGATCAGAATCCGCCGGAACTTGGTCCGGAACTGTATTGCTGGGAGAAGGACATTAAATTGAAAACTGAATATTACCTAGTTTTATGGAGGTGAAGTTCCTGTTTTGCGGGTAGATTTTTTTTTAATGTTCAACAAACAACTTGTGCCTCCCTTTTCAGGACCGACCCACGTGTCCCTGGTAGGGATGTATATGATGTTATCCTATCACTCCTACGCTCCTATGTCCAGAAATATATAATTTGTCTCTAGATATAGTTTGGTTCGGTGAAATAATCGCCCCAACCGCCGCTAACGAGTTAAAGGGCCATATTGTCTGGTATGCTTGATTTTACTATCATCTAATCACCCCAGAACATAATGGACGATTTCAGTGTATTCCTTGGCCCCAAAAACATACGGTAAGACACCAAAGTGATCATTCTCGACTAAATACTCTGGGAGTTATAGGGGATTATTTGAAATGGCGGCCGTCTTAGACGCCATCTTGAATTTCTCAAAACGCTCAAGTGTGACCGAGGTTCACCCAGCAAATTCTGAAAGAGGACACCCTAGGCTACTAAAATCAATCATAAAAAAAACTTTTGTATGCAATTTCAAGGTTCAGCCATAGTTCTGCCGGACTATTCAGAAAACCCCTGAGGCCTGAGGATGAAATTTTGTCGATAATGGTTCTCCATATTGTGCACATAGAGACTATTTACATGTCCCGGTTTTACCCGAAGAAATTTTTTGTACTTATTTTGGCCTCCAGTTTTGTAATGAAGAAATATTTTCTTGTTTGGGCTGTTGGTCATAGCAGCAGTTGCGTAATTTGTGTGCTGTCGCCTTTGTATGGCGGTGAACAGGTTGGGATTTGTCGTCCTAGACCATGTTCATTAGCAATTGTGGACACAAAACATTTGGATTAATACAGTTTTTATTCCGGGTTTTCCAGACGTAGATAATTAGCTCCTATTTCTCAGAGTTAATTATATTTTAATCACCCGAAATTAATTACTTATTATTCGCTACATTTGCCGCCAGTGTACGGCAATGCAAATGTTATAAATTGCTGAATAATAGACGTGACCATAAACTGCTAATACTATATATCCGTATTAAAAGTATATACAATTTTTAAATACAATGTCGTGTTAATTATATTTGAATCACTTGAACTAATTATTCGCTACATTTGCCATCAGTGACCAGAAACTGTCAATATATATCTGCATTAAAAGTATATACAACCTTTAAGTACACTGTATTGTGTAAAATCTTTCTGGCGACAACGAGCACCCTAATAATAAAACTGAACATACAATTTTGAGTTATATTACTTATGTATATTTATAGCTAACTTGTAAAATCCTGAAACAAAATGTAAAAGCATGGGTCATGGGATTTGAAGATTTTATCTTTTTTTATTCCAGCTGAATTACCATGTAGTCTAATTCCTGCCATTTTGGCTTCATGTGTAAATCAAGGCACGTGTATAGCTTTTTCACTTGGCGTCCGTGTTAGCGATGTTGGATTGTGTGAAGATACAAAGGAATGTTGCTCTGGAGTGGTACGTGTGTTTTTTTTATTTATTAATCTGCACCATCCTTTTACTTTGAGGTTTCGAGTATAAACGACTAGTAATAATGCTAAGATGGAGAGGATTACTGTTAAACAAACGTTGTAAGCTTTGTGATATCTCCAGTGATATCAGATGTTCTGAACAGTAAGCGTGACATGTTAGATGATATACTTTACAAAGACATACTATCATCATGTTGAATCTTCTATTTTAAAAGCATTTAGTTGTAATATTTACTAGACTTGTCAAATGGACAACTTTGATAGTTTTATACGGAAATATTACACACTTATACTTGAATTAATAACAACATCTAGTAAATTAATGTATAACGTTGACCTAGGGGATGGCATAGTACCCATTATGTAATAATTAGATAAAGAGCTGACCGTTTTTTCTATAATAAACCGTAAACCTCAAAAAGCCTCGTTTACCATTTTTGTCAAATACTGGTATAATAATTCATCCAATAAAGAAAGTCGCATTTAGAAAACAAGACATCTTTAAAACAAGGTCTGATTTAGAAAATATGCGTCGTTTCAAATACCGGTGTTTGAGAAGCCTTGTTATCGGTTTGTTTAAAACGGGGTGCAACTCTTATCAGTTATTGGATCGATTCTAAAATACTTTATTCTGAGCGAAGTTATGATTCTTTGAAGTTTTGACAAAAAATAGCTTAAATAATCTCGATTGTCGAGTACCATTGCTATGATAATATACGAAATCTGAATTTTCCACTTTAACGTTTAACTAAGATATTCTCTTATACTTTTAATAGCTCAGCCAGACTTGATTTACTATGGGCTTTATGTGTAGATAAAAAATGTCTAAACAATACATTTGAAACCAGTATAAGACCTGCAATTGGCAGATTTTACTTTTACATAATACGTCTTTAATGTTTTTGTGGCTAAGTAGCCGTAAACACAGTTAGAGTCCCGTCACCTGTTAACGACAGTGGCGGTAGAGGGCACTGGGCAGCAACTTGTGCCTCGCCGACCACCTCTGGGCGACACCTGGTCGTAGCCGACCTAACGAGAAGATGCATTCAGGGTCACTTATTGACCTCTCTCACCTAGCTTAAGCTTGCTCGGGATCCCCCTAAGAAGTTGCTTCAACTCGCCCGATGTTCTCCCATGTCGCCCCGCAAGCGGGTCGAGGACGACCAAGAACCACGAGTCGACTATTTAAGAGCGAGGCCTCGCCCGTTAGCGGAATAAACCAGTCTTTTCACTTCACCAGCCACGAACGGCCATGCACCACCACCCATCGAATCGAGAAAGGACTGCACGAGCGTCTGTCAATCCTGACGATGTCCGGACCGGGTAAGTTGCCCCGTGTTGAGTCAAATTAAGCCGCAGACTCAACTCCTTGTGGTGCCCTTCCGTCAATTCCTTCAGGTTTCAGCCTTGCGACCATACTACTCCCGGAACCCGTAAACTCTCAAGTTGCCCGAAGCCGCCACGGACGGGTCCATAACCGCTGTTCTCGATCCTCGTCCGCGGCCCGGGCGGCAGCGTTTACCGTCGGCACTACGACGGTATCTGATCGTCTTTGCTCCACCCACCTTCGTTCTGGATTAAGGAAGACGTCCAGGGCCAGCGCTTTCGCTTCGAGTCGTCTCAAGCGGATCACAAAATTTCACCTCTCCCCGCCCGGTACGCTCGCCCCCCACCGTTCCTCTCGAATCCTAGCTCTCCGGCGACACCGACAGGGAGGCAACGTCAAACAAGTCGGCCGGACCGCCCTCCGGAATAGAGCTTCCCCGCTTGTTCTATGCACGAAATATCCAGGCTCGTAGTTTTAGCCTGCCTTTAGCACTCTAATTTGTTCAAGGTAGACATAAATTGTGGCGGGATCTCTCCCGCGAAGGAGAGAAGCGAGGCAGGACGGTCAAGTCCGCCTCGCCCCGCACACCAGTTAGGAGCGGCCAAGAAATCTCCGAGCCGTCTCCGAGATCCAACGACAAGCTTTTTATTTTAACAGCAGCAACTCCGATATAGGCTATTGGAGCTGGAATTACCGCGGCTGCTGGCACCAGCCTTGCCCTCCAATATATCCTCGCACACTTTTTTTAAGTTGCGCTCATTCCGCCCGGGGCGACCACGAAAGGGCCCCGCCACGTTATTTTTCGTCATTACCTCCCCGTGTCGGGATTGGGTAAGTTGCGCGTCTGCTGCCCTCCATGGAGGTGGTAGCCCGTTACCCGTCAGCACCGTGGTAGGCAGGTCGACGACCATCGCCAATTGATGGGTCAGACACTTCATGGCCAAGTCGTCGAGGACCCTGAAAGACCCCGCGATCGGCACAGTTATTCGGATTTCAACACCCGTCGCTTCGCCCCGTCGCTACTTTTGACGGTAGCTTCGCAGGCTAGGGGGATCTGGTCCAGAGAGGGGGGGGGACCACGGTGTGTCGCATGTATTAGCTCTAGAATTACTTTATCTGACTAATGAGCCGTTCGAAGTTTCGACTCGCTCCCCGAAAGGAACGAGCCTGAAATTAGACTTGCATGGCTTAAGCTTTGAGACAAGCATATGATCACTGGCAGGATCAACCAGATAGCCTTTTCACGAGCTCGAAGAGAACCACGAGGAAACGCCTCTCCCAGTCGCCGCTAAGCGAGAGAGCGAGGGTCGGCAGGGCGGCGAAGAACCTAATTCTGAACCCCGCGCGCCTGCCTCGTTTGCTGCGTAATTCCGGACGAGGAAGGAAGTCCCCGTGGCCAGCGGGGCGGCCGGCGATAGTTCCGTCGCTACTAGGCGTACGGAAGAACCGAGATGAGCCGAGACGGGCCACGCAAGAGACGAGCTCCAGCGGGTGCGCCGAATCGGGATCTCCCCGCGGCGTTTGCCGCAGGGATGGTAGTTGAGACTCGCTGATTTAACAATCGGACGAGCCAGTCTGTCCCGCCGTGTAAGCGTGCACCGGAACTCTTCGGGTCTGCCAGGCGGGCCGAGAAATAAATCTCTGCACTACCGACCGTCACGAGCTGTGACCCGCGCCGAGAAAGAACCGGCGAAGGAGAGAGAAGAAAGAGCGCGCCGCGAGAAAACAGAGCGGCCAAGAAATCTCCGAGCCGTCTCCGAGATCCAACGACAAGCTTTTTATTTTAACAGCAGCAACTCCGATATAGGCTATTGGAGCTGGAATTACCGCGGCTGCTGGCACCAGCCTTGCCCTCCAATATATCCTCGCACACTTTTTTAAAGTTGCGCTCATTCCGCCCGGGGCGACCACGAAAGGGCCCCGCCACGTTATTTTTCGTCATTACCTCCCCGTGTCGGGATTGGGTAAGTTGCGCGTCTGCTGCCCTCCATGGAGGTGGTAGCCCGTTACCCGTCAGCACCGTGGTAGGCAGGTCGGCGACCATCGCCAATTGATGGGTCAGACACTTCATGGCCAAGTCGTCGGGGACCCTGAAAGACCCCGCGATCGGCACAGTTATTCGGATTTCAACACCCGTCGCTTCGCCCCGTCGCTACTTTTGACGGTAGCTTCGCAGGCTAGGGGGATCTGGTCCAGAGAGGGGGGGGGGAACCACGGTGTGTCGCATGTATTAGCTCTAGAATTACTTTATCTGACTAATGAGCCGTTCGAAGTTTCGACTCGCTCCCCGAAAGGAACGAGCCTGAAATTAGACTTGCATGGCTTAAGCTTTGAGACAAGCATATGATCACTGGCAGGATCAACCAGATAGCCGTTTCACGAGCTCGAAGAGAACCACGAGGAAACGCCTCTCCCAGTCGCCGCTAAGCGAGAGAGCGAGGGTCGGCGGGGCGGCGGGGAACCTAATTCTGAACCCCGCGCGCCTGCCTCGTTTGCTGCGTAATTCCGGACGAGGAAGGAAGTCCCCGTGGCCAGCGGGGCGGCCGGCGATAGTTCCGTCGCTACTAGGCGTACGGAAGAACCGAGATGAGCCGAGACGGGCCACGCAAGAGACGAGCTCCAGCGGGTGCGCCGAATCGGGATCTCCCTGCGGCGTTTGCCGCAGGGATGGTAGTCGAGACTCGCTGATTTAACAATCGGACGAGCCAGTCTGTCCCGCCGTGTAAGCGTGCACCGGAACTTTTCGGGTCTGCCAGGCGGGCCGAGAAATAAATCTCTGCACTACCGACCGTCACGAGCTGTGACCCGCGCCGAGAAAGAACCGGCGAAGGAGAGAGAAGAAAGAGCGCGCCGCGAGAAAACAGAGCGGGGACGCGGTCTCGGGTGCCATCCTTCCCCTCGAGCAAGCGTCGCGACGACGTTGACGAGAAGGGTAACCGGGAGCTGCACGAACACACACTCCATAGCCTTCACACCGCGCAAGAGGAGACCGGCCAACCTTCCACCGTAAAGCGCTCGTCTCCAGAAATTCGCCCGACCAATTCTCCGCCAAAGTTCCCTGCCTCGCCGAGTACCGGCTGAGCTTCACCCTCCATGTAAGAGAAAACGCTCTCTTTGGAAAGGTATACACATGCACCGTACCAGGTTCGGTCTCTCACACCTACCTCCTATACTAGTGTTTCGCACTCGTTTGAAAGGTATACCGTCGTGCAAAAGTAGGTTTCGACTCGATTTTTTCGTTTCCATGGCGTTTCTGCCCTTCCAAATTCATCTCTTCGCATCCATTCTGGCCAGGGACCCTCGTTCCAACAACTTTCGCCGAGATATCTCAGCGCATCTCATCGCTAGGGGCGTTTGAATGTCGGGCGCGAAAAGCTCGTCAGCGCGCTAGCCAGCGCTTCTACGCGAGCGCTCACTCGGCAATGTTTGGCCGCCTCTCTCGCCCGGCGGGTAAGAGCGGGGGAGATAGTCTGCTCGCATCTCTCTAGCGAGCACCGACTCGAGCAACAGGCTGGTATCTCTCTGCCGTGCGAATAGGCCGAATTCATGCCTGTGCATCTCTTGTGACCAAGGGACCCTCGCTCAGACAACTTTGGCTGCCCTCCGCTAGCCGCTAGCCGCTAGTCAGCGCGCTAGCCAGCGCTTCTACGCCCGGCTGG